TCCCAGTGCTGGCTCCTCAAAGTCATCTGTCCGCACATCACTTCCTGTCCCAGCAGCTTGCCCCAAGCAGTACAAAAATGGACGAAGGGCAGCTACAGGCACCAAGAGTCGTAAGCAAGTCACTGAGGAACAGCTCCAGGATAACGCCACGCTGCAGCCCCGTGATGGCACCCGCTCCAGAGCCAGACCGCTCGGCCGGTTCAAATCCTGCTTCTATCCCCTGCCGATGTTGTAACCTTGGGTGAGTTCCTTACATTTCCCAATGTCTGCATCTTAAAAATGGGGGTGATTATCACACCTCCCTCACAGAGTACACGTAAAGTTGAATAAACACATAGTAAGCCTGTGTAAGTGTTAGCTATGACTCCATTTATACTGAGCTCAATAACAAGCAAAATGAAACAACCTACTGTGAGGAACATGGTACATGGTAAAACGATGTGCAGGAGTGAGAATGTTATACCCAGAAGTGAGCTGGGGGCCCCTCTCTTAGGGGAAAACCAAAAGGAAGACAGATACCAGCCGTTCTCCCAGCTCCTGTAATCTGTTTCATAAGCAGGGCTCATGGGAACTCACTTTATTAATTTTTATAACTTGCATACACATGGCTCATTCCTTCTGCATGTAAGAATTATTTCATAATAAAAATAACCTGTCAGGCTCCTCTGTTCCCTGTCTTCAGAGGTGAGGTGGAGCTCCCTGGAGCCAGAGCCAAGCTGCACTTTTGGTAGGTAGTTGCAAGATAAAACCTTCCACTGACAGTCCACAGAGATAACCCGCCCTCTGGGTGCTGCACTTGGAGACAGACCCACCTAGGTCCAACTCAGTCATTTTTCAGCGGTGTGGCCTTGATCAAATTACTTCTCCTGGGCTCACTGTTTTCAGCAGTAAAATGGAAATGCAGAGGTTTTACCCTCCAACTAATCAGGGTTTGGAGGAAGATCTAGAAGCAAGGTCAATGGAGAGCTATCCCTTGAGTCATTGTATTTAAAGCCTCCCGCAATAGGCTTGTGGGTTGGCTACTCCAGACCTCCCCTGTATCCCCGTTTCATCCTGCTAAGGTGAGGTTCCCCTCCCCTCCCCTAACAGCCCTAGGTTTGCCCTTGGTTCCATGGCTCTGACATCTGGTCACCTCAGCATCTGCCATTCCCATTTTTTGGTCTTTGCTCCTGGTGTCACTTCCCCCCAGCCTACCCTGATGGCTGGTCGGGGAGCTAGATGATCATTCATTTCCAGCATGGTCTGTCAGACTCTAGACTCCTGTTCATCTCTGCAAATGCTAAAGCAGTGGAGGAGTAGAAAGAATGGAAACATACGGCTCACTTCTTACTAGACGTTAAGATCTTGGACACGTCCCCATCTGTTCAGCAAAGATGAGAGTCACTAGCTTGCAAGAATTTTTGTGAAGATTGCATGAAATAAAGGATGTAGGGTATTTAAAGAACTTGGAGCAGCCTGATGTATTACATACCTGATGGATATTAGGGAGGCAACAAACAGGAGTAATATTACAAAAATACCCAGCAGCCTGATACACTGCATACCTGATAGATATTAGACAATAAACAGAAGTAATAATTACTAAAATACCCAGCAGCCTGATATATTACATACCTGATGGATATTAGGGAGGCAACAAACAGGAATAAAAACTACTCAAATACCCAGCAAACATAGTTTACACTTAAAAAGAATTGGCTGTATTTTTTTCTTTCACTTTTTTCCATTGATTTTTTTTACAAGTAAATTTAACCAAGGTCGTTGGTTGATATCACAGTTTGCATCGCTAATTTGCGGGAAGCCATCTGACCACGTACCTAAACCTTGATCTGTGATTTACTGCTGTAGAAATAGTAACAGAGGAAAAGAAAGAGAGAAGAGGTGGCAATCTACTTTAAACATTTCAGGAAAAGGAAAATAGCTGGTCTGGTGTCAAAATGAAGGTTGTCATGACGGCTGATTCTCACAGCAAAATACGTGCCTTCTAAAGGGGAGAGAGAATGTGTTTAACTCATCTCATCAACGAGAATAGGACACTGGTTTTGGAATGGATCGTATAAGCACAGGTGGATACAGGGCACAAAATAAATGCTAGGATTGCACCTTTAGAGATTTTACTCCATCTCCCTACGTAAAGGAAAAACTTTACCTAAACAAAGTATGGCCAGGGGGTTCTTTTCAAGACCAGGTTTGACTTGGAGAGTAATTGACAGGAACACTGTGTTAAGGACTCTGCAGGCCGGGCACAGTGGCTCACGCCTGTAATCCCAGCACTTTGGGAAGCTGAGGCAGGCAGATCACAAGGTCAAGAGATCGAGATCATCCTGGCCAACATAGTAAAACCTGGCTCTAGTAAAAATACAGGAAAAAAAAAAATAGTTGGGTGTGGTGGTATGTACCTGTAAGTCCCAGCTATTCGGGTGGCTGAAGCAGTAGAATCTCTTTAACCTGGGAGACAGAGGTTGCAGTGAGCTGAGATCGTGCCACTGCACTCCAGCCTGGCAACCAGCTTTTTTAAGACTTCGTCCTTTAAAAAAAAAAAAAAAGCATTCTGTAGCACATTCCCAGCTAAGCTGGAAAGATGCCATGATGGATAGTTATGTCTACTCCGGGTGCAGGAGAGTCATGGCTGCATTTATGGGTCTATGAGCAGTTTGCCATGGCCTTGAACCTGTTCTAGTTCTTGTCGTTAGAATTTGGAAACATGGTCAAGCCACATGGTCACCAGTCAGCTGAGCAAGACGTAACAGGTGCAGGCATCAGACAAGACAGGCTAACACTGAAAATCAGGCAGCCCTGGAAGAGCTCCAAAGCCCCACTAACCTCTTTATAACCAAATTATTTGCCCTATGGCCCTTGCCAAAGAAAAGCAGAGTTGGTTTCATGCCATGTGTGATTTTTGTTTTCTTTATTATTATTATTTTGAGATGGAATCTCTGTCGTCCAGGCTGGAGTGCAGTGGCACCATCTCAGATGGCTGCAACCTCCCCCTCCCAAGTTCAAGCAATTCTCCTCCCTCAGCCTCCCGAGTATTCTGGGATTACAGGCGCCTGCCACCACGCCTGGCTAATTTTTGTATTTTTAGTAGAGATGGGGTTTCACCATGCTGTTCAGGCTGGTCCGGAACTCCTGACTTCAGGTGATCCACCTGCCTTGGACTCCCAAAGTGCCGGGATTATAGGTGTGAGCCTATAATCACATATGCCTGGCTGCCATATGTGATTCTGGGAGGAGATTCTATTGCCCTACCCTATGCTCAGCTATGACTTGATCCTTTCATGCGGTTAGAGGGATTCATTTCTGCTTCTTGTATCTGTTGTTGTGCTCAGAACCAAACTTCCACCCATGGGGGTTCAGGGTCAAGGACTGGTAGTCTCAGGCCTTGTTTTATGTACTAGCTGTCCAGCCTTGGGCCTCTTTACTTCCCTAAGCCTCAGTATTCTCATCTGTAAAATGGGTGTTACAGTTGGTGGGTGTGGCGGCTCATGCCTGGAATCTCAGCACTTTGGGAGGGATTGCTTGAGCTCAGGAGTTTGAGACCACCCTGGGCAACATGGTGAAACCCTATCTCTATCAAAAATACAAAAAACCAGCCCAGTGTGGTGGTGCCCACCTGCAGTCCTAGCTACTCGGGAGGCTGAGGCAGGAGGATGAAGTAAAGCTGGGAGGTGGAAGTCGCAATGAGCTGAGATTGCACCACTGCACTCCAGCCTGGACATCAGAGAGAGACCCTGTATCAAAAAAAAAGAAAAAAGTACCTACGTCATAGAATGACCACTTATTGTCCAAACTGGGACAGTTATGAAAATTCTCCATAATTACACCAGGAAAAAGGCATTATTGGGAATCATCCCACGAAAACCTCAGTACGTGGTCACCCTCCAAACGGGGACGTTGTGCAGATGCCAGCAGGAAACCAGACAGGTTCCTGGAACAGGCTGCAGGAGCACGTGGGCTGTTCCTGGCTCTTCTCGTCTACGCAGAGCTTTCTACTATAATTGTCCCCCTCTCTCTGGCGTCATCATTGTCTTCCTCTCCCCTGGGCCATTTCCACCAACTCAAAAACATGCATTAATAGCTCTCTCTTTAAAAAGAAAAAAAAAAAAAGCAACAATCACTTCCCGTCTCTGGCCAGTACCACATCTCTCTGTTCCTCTACAGAAAAACTCCAAAATTGCCCATGGGCTCAAGCTCCATTTCTCTCCTCCAAGGGCTTCTTCTTGACTCAATGACAGCCGAAGACTTTCCATGTCCTCTACACTCTGTGTGGCCTGTCCCCTGCTGATTTCTGTACCTCCTCTCCCACTGCCTCCAGACAGCCCACTCTGTTCCCGTGTTCCTCAGACACACCAAGCTCTTCCCAAACTCACGACCTTCGCATTGACAATTCCCTCTGCCTGGAACACTTTTCCCTGTGTTTTTGCCTGACTCACTCCTTAGCTTAACTCAGGTCTCGGCTCTAGCCCCTTCCCTGCCTGGTTCTTCCTGATACTCCTGCATCCTGAAATTAGATTATACGTGATCTGGAGGCAGTGGGATGTTTGCTCTCCCTTTCTGGAAGGTAATTTTCAGAGTAAAGGACTTGTTTGCTCATTACTGTGTCCTCCAAGACCAGAACGGTGCCTGGCACGTGGTAGGTACCCAAACAGCACTTCCTGAATGAATAAAATGATACGTCATTTTAAAAACTTCCGGTGCTTCACAGCATACACTAACATCATTAACAATAGCGTATGGAGTTAACTGGCCAGGATAGCCAAGCACATTGGAGGGATCTGAGTTGACTCCCACTCCCCCAAGCCTATCCCTGTGCTAGACTGTGCGTTTTGGGAGGGCTTTTGTTGTTGTTGTTGTTGTTGTTGTTGACCATGTAGTTTTATTTCATCAGTGCTCTCTTTTTAGTGGATTCAGGCAGCACCCCAGAGTACAGGACTTAGCTCCGAGGGGTGGCCTGACCCAGCAGCAGTCTTCTGTTCCAGTAGGAAAAAGCTTCCCCCCCCCCAACTGGGGCAGGTGGGTTTTATTCCAGGTGCTGGAGAGCTGTGAGCCCCGCCCCTACCCTGGGATGCCCCCGGGATGGGGGCTGAGCCCAGGCAGGGGTGAGCACTCCGAGCAGGAAGGGGATGATGGGCATGCGCAGGGGTGGGTAGTCCCGGAACTCCTTCAGGTAGCTGCGGTGTTTGCCCTTGGCCCAGATGGTCATCTGGGTGAAGCCCACCAGGGAGAACAGGGCCACTGGGAGACACTGCGTCATGATGGCGAAGCCGATCCAGGATCCCACCTCGTAGGTATAGTTGGGGCAGGACACCAGCAGGAAAAGCCACGTGAAGGGGTTCTTGGTGGGGTATGGGATCTTCCGCGTCTTGGACCCAGCGGGCCGCAGGTCACGCAGGGCCACGTGGATGGAGAAGTTGCTGAGCTGGCAAATCACAAAGATGGCGAGTGCCAGCTTTACCTGCTGAGTACCGTAGGTAGGGGGCGTGTAGAGAGGGTGGTTGATGTAATAGGCCATCCACGCAGCAAAGCCCCAGTAGCAGATGCAATTCTTGAAGATGTTGTGCAAAGACATGGTGCCATGGGAGAAACGGTGCACGAAGAGCGTCTCCAGCAGGCGCTTGACGTAGTGGAATTGAGTGGCAGATGCAGGCGAGGTGCACCACCGTGTGCCGGCTGGATGTGAAGTCATATTTGTGGCCACAGATGAAGGGCACTCGGAAGTAAAAGAGCAGGTAGACGAAAAGGGGCCCCGAATACTCTGTTAGGAAGACCGTCACCTGGGAGGTGCTTCAGCCCACAGTTTTCCAGATGGACTCATTGCATTTTCTGGGTTCCAAGCTCCTCAGATGTGATCACCACCAGCAGAAGCGGCAACACAGCCTGCCAGCCCCGCCTGTCCGTCAGGGCCGGGAGGGAGGCAGTCCTGCTGTCCTTGCTCTCACCCTGTGCCCTCTCAGGCTTCCACTGAGCATTAATCACACAGCCTGAAGGGATGCCTGAAACAAATTCCAGTCCAGAGAGGGCCGCTGCCCTAAAAGAGGAGTGGAGGAGAATACACAGAAACCTGCCAGCCTCTACCTACAGGCCTGGTCTGGCCGGTTCCAGGTTCGCGGAGCCCTGCCCTCCAGGCTCCAGGGGTAGGTGCTGCAGGAGCTGAGATCTTAGCCTGTCATTCTCCAGCCAAAAACCACTGAGTCCTGGCAGGCAGGACTGCTGCTGAACGGTTAAGATGAACCATGCTTCCTGTACACCACCCCACGTGGCCTGGGTCCTCCACACCTGCCCCTCCCACCATTCAGCATTGAGCTGCACCAGGCCAGCTGGCTGACCTCTTCACCGCGGCTAGTACACTGTGCTCCCTGTCCTGAACCGTTTGGGGCCTTTCAAGGCCCGTGTGTTGCAGAACTTCAGGAATAAAGCTGGACTGGGCACCTGGTCTGTCTTTTTCTGCTTCCGTAATCGAACAGGCTGTTTAGTCCAGGGATGGGCAAACATACTCTGCCAAGAGCTGGGTAGTAAATATTTTAGGCTTTATGGGGCACAAGTCTTAGTCATAGCTATACAACTATGCCCTTGTAGCTCAAACACAGCCGTAGACTGTCTATATAGGAGTGGGCGTGGCTGTATGCCAATAAAACTTTATTGACACGAACAGCAGGTGGGCCACATAGAGCCCAAGGACCATAGGTTGCTGACCCTGATTTACCCTTCTGACTCAGTTTCCTCACCTATAAACTAGGGACAATCATGTCTTAACATGATCACTGAGAGTTGATAAAAGTACTCACAGCTGCACAGTCATGTTGGAGTTTTTTGTCTGTTTCACAGCAACCCCTCACCTTGCATCTTGCGCAGAGGAGCACCAGCCTCACCCCGGGTTCGGGGCAGGCCCCAGCCGCGCCTCGCTGTGGCCAAACACATCGCTCTGACTCGTGCCTGGGAGCCTGCGAGCCTCGGACTGCCTGCGTTATGATTTATTTCAGCGTGACTGTCAGACATCTCGGTTCTGCGGCGGGCTGCGGGGATGAGGAGGGCCTTTCAAGGGGGGCCGGGATTGCATTCGCTGCGGATGAGGCTGCGCGGACGCAATGGGGGCGCCGGGCCCGCAGCCCCGCCTCCCCCGCACTGGGCTGTCTTCGCCGTCTCCTGCTCGCGGCCCCGTGGCGCTCTTTCCCCTTCCTTTACTCCGCTGGCTCTCCCCGCTCCCAGCCTGCTGAACGACTTGCCTCGCCCCCCATCTCCACGGGTTCCCCAGCTTCTCTTCATGTGCCCCATAGCGTGGCTGCGCCAGCATATAATAAACGCTGCTGACCGGGGAATCCGAGCTAACTGAATTACTTCCTCATTAAAGAGGCGGGCAGATTCCTGCGCCCCGCGAGCAGCCGCCCTCGCTGCCTCCCTCCCCGCCCCGCTCCGCCCTGCTGGGCCCGCCCGCCGTCTGCAATTAGGCGGCAAATGCGTGCGGCCCGCTGGTGGCCGGGGTTCTGCAGGGGCTGGGGGGGGGGGGGGGGTAGCGCTCGTCTGCTTCTCTCCAGGGTGGATCCCAGCTCTGCTTCCTCTTCCCGCCTTCCCAGACCGTCAGTTTCTCAGCCAGGGAGCTCCAGGCCAGCTGGAGACGGGAGGTGGCCTGCTCAAGGTCACCTGAGTCCCCTCCTACCCGAGTTCCAATGGAGGCCGCTGGCTTTGGCCTGGGCAGAGGAGCTGGTGGTTCCTAAGATCTTCCTCTGGCTTCAGGGAAGTTGATTCCCTGGCAAGGCTTCCAGGAGACTCCCACAAGCCAACTGGAGGCCCCCCGACCAAAAGGAAAGGGGGTCTGGACGCCAGGGCTCCACCTGGCGCCTCCTTCTCACCTCCTCGGCTCTGTGTCTGTCAGCGAACCAGGGTCTCTGATTCCCCGTGTCCCCCCACCGGGTCTTCCGGGACTGTGCCAGGGGCCTCCTATCTGGCCAGCACCCCAGGGCGCCACCTCCCCAGGCCCGCAGTAAGCCGGCCGCTCCCCTCGGACCTCCCACCTGCTTCTCTGCGAGAGCCTCCCGCGTGGAGGGCTGGCTCAGTGCCAGGCAGCTGGTAAGTGCTTTACAGGTGTTGTTGCGGAGCAAACCAGAAACCATTATTCTAAAAGCTGGCTATATTCTGGGCCTTTTTACTTGCAGGCAATGGAAGATTTACTCGTTCTTTTGTTTAAGAAAACACCTTAATGGGCCTGTTGGCCTCTGGGTACGTCTAGATGGGAGAAGATTGAGACAAAGAAACATTGGGCTGTTCTGCATCATAAAGTAAAGGGAAGTTTAGGTTCCCTAAGCTAGCGAGAGTGGAAGGGGGCGGGGACTGGGAGCCTCGGGGGGAGGATGAAGCGGAAAGAAAACAGGCTGGTTACAGCTGCGGGGGCCTGGATGCTGCGGATAAACACAGCCTGGAAGAAACACCTCAGACCCTGAAACTGCCCCCACCCCTGTGGAGTCATGGGAAACGCTGGCCAAAGCTGGACATCCCGCGTCGTTGTAACCCAAGTCGCTTGTCTTGGAATAATGTTCCTGCGAGAAGCCCCTTTCCGGGGCTAGGAATCCACGTGGTAACTCTTGATTCTGTCTTTGTTCTCCAGACCTCCCAGTGAAGTGGTTCCGGCCCTGTGGGCCTTGGAGATCCTGCAGGCGCAGCTGTTTGATTGGAATGCCTTACAGGTAGCTTGAATTCATGGACGCATGCCCTCTGCATTGTAGGATGCGAAAGGTTGCCAGCAATCCTGTTTAGGGAGGACTGGTGGATGAATTGTGCTTCGGGGACCCCGGGCTTGGCATATGGTAGGTACTGCCACAGCCCCTGCCCTGCTGGCTAGCCAGTTAAGTTAGGTCTTCGCAGGAAGGGGCTGTGTGTCTCTGAGACACCTGTTGACCTAAGTGCGGTCCCTCCAGTGGCTCACTGAGAAAAGACCCAGCTTTCTGGGGGTCTCTCTGACAGCACAAGGCCTGGCTCTTCCTCCTCGCTGCCCACACCCTCTTCCCTGGGGCTGAGGCCTGTTGGGAGTTTGGGAAATCAGCCTTCGCTGTTTACTCAGGGACCTTCTCCCTTTCTCAGTGGGTTGCAGGAGAACAGAAAGTGAGGTCAAAGCGTGCTTGTGTCTGCAGACAGAGACTCCTTCATCTAGAGAAGAAAAGCCTCCCCCAGTGCCAACTCTGGGACTTGAGAAAAATCACCGTTTTGTCAGAGTTTATATCAAGGCACCACGAAATTCACAGATGGCTTTGCCCTTCTGTCTTGGCGTGGTCATCCCCAAAGGAGCCCCTGAGATGAGGACTTGGGTGCAGGTAGCTTATTTAGACAGGGATACCAAGAAGCTGGGGACCCACTCAGGAATCATGGAGAACATGCTTTGAGATTGCCTCCCTCCAAAGGATAGGGGAGCTGAAGCTTCTATTCCCAGACTTGTCCTGCCTTGCCCGAGGGTTATTAAATTCCCAGCGCTGGAGGGTGCCCTGTGCACAGGCTGTGCAAGCCCTTAAGGCAATGGGGAACAATCGGAAGCAAAAAATCAGAGCACCCCAGGTGCTTGAGGTGGAAGGCTGCCAGCACAGACAGGTACAGGCGGGAAGATTGCTTGAACCCAGGAAGTTGAGGCTCCAGGTACAGGTGGACAGAAGTTATGAAAAGCGTTTGCTCTAACCCCCAACCCTAAAAGCTAATTTAAGAAAGCCCCAAAGCTAATTTCAGAAAGAACTTCAAGTCCTCTAGGGTTGCTGGTAGGGGTGCAAATGAGCTGGGAGAGTGAGTTCCTCATGCCTTCCTTCTCCACATAGTCCCAAGGTTTCCACCGTCCAACTACAGGGTTTCAACAAAGAGACACGCTGGGTGCAGTGGCTCATGCCTGTATTCCCAGCATTTTGGGAGGCTGAGGCAGGCAGGTCACCTGAGGTTAGGAGTTTAAGACCAGCCTGGCTAACATGATGAAACCTCATCTCTACTAAAAATACAAAAATTAGCCGGGCATGGTGGTGGGCTCCTGTAATCTCAGCTACTCAGGAGGCTGAGGCAAGAGAATTGCTTGAAACCGGGAGGTGGGGGTTGCAGTGAGCCAAGATTGTGCCATTGCCTTACAGCCTGGGGAACACAGCGAGACTCTATCTCAAATAAATAAATAAAAATAAATAAAGAGACAGTAAATGCCTGGAGAATGAATTAAGACCCATAGTTTTGGGTTTGTAATAGGGTTGTCGAAGAGGTAGACCCATGATGAATGGAGGACAGTTTGGGATAGCTGTGACAAAGAGTTTATAGCCATAATATGTAAAGCCCTGCCATATTCAATAAGAAAGCAATCACAAGCCGACAGAGAAAACAGTCAAATTGTACCAGCAGGCAGTTCACCAAAAAAATACGTGCATATTACTAATAAATATCTAAAATTATTTCTATCTCGTTTGTAATAAAAAATAATTTCAGACAAGGCATTATTCCTTCCCCATCAGATTGGCAAAAAGTTCACAAAATGGGTGTCAGCCAGCGTTGGTAAGGGAGTGGGGAGAGAGACATTCTCAGGCTGTCCACTCTCTTCAGAGGGCAGTTTGCATTAAACATGAAAAGTGGGCGTGAACCTTGACCAGGCAGTTCCACTACTAGGCATGTCCCCCTCAGAAATGTCAGTATCGCCGTACATGCACAAAGATGTTACAGAGAAGTTCCTTTCAGTTATACTGACACAATTCAAGCCAATCTAAATGTCTGTGGGGTATGTAGTTAAATTACAGCCCACCTAAGCCAGGCATGGTGGCTGACACCTGTAATCTCAGCACTTTGAGAGGCCAAGGCGGGAGGATCACTTTAAGCTCAGGAGTTTGAGATCAGCCTGGGCAACATAGTGAGACCCTTTCTCTATCAAAAATTTTTAAAAAGCAGCCAGTGCACAAGTGGTGCACACTTGTAGGCTCAGCTACCTAGAAAGCTGAGGTGGAAGGATTGCTTGAACCCAGGAGCTTGAGGTTTCAGTGAACCATGGTCATGCTACTGCACACCAGCCTGGATGACAGAGCAAGACCCCATCTCAAAAAGAAAAAGCATGTCCACATCCTGGAATACTATACAGCTATTAAGAAGAACGAGATAGTTGGGCGCGGTGGCTCACGCCTGTAGTCCCAGCACTTTGGGAGGCCAAGGCGGGTGGATCACAAGGTCAAGAGATTGAGACCATCCTGGTCAACATGGTGAAACCCTGTGTCTACTAAAAATACAAAAAATTAGCTGGGCATGGTGGCGCGTGCCTGTAATCCCAGCTACTCAGGAGGCTGAGGCGGGAGAATTGCCTGAACCCAGGAGGCGGAGGTTGCGGTGAGCCGAGATCGCGCCACTGCACTTCAGCCTGGGTAATAAGAGCGAAACTCTGTCTCACAAAAAAAAAAAAAAAAAAAAAAAAAAAAAAAAAAAAAAGAACAAGATAGACTTATCAGAGGTCCTTTAAGTAATAGAGGAAGGTCTCCGAACAATATTTTATGACTTTATTTTTGTAAAATAAAGAACTATACCTACATTTGTATGTGTGTGCATGGAAAACTATCTTGCAGGTTCCACAGCAAATTGTTAACGATGCTGGCCTCTAGGGAATGAAATCAGAGTGGGGGCAAGCGGGGGAACTGGTAGGAGGCAGTGATGTCGTGGAGTGGAATGTTTTTCTGTACTCGGTTTGTCATTGTGATCATGAGCAATTTAATGAAAAGCAATCAAATCTAAAACATGGGGGATAGGTAGAATTGAAAAGGATTCTAGCAACTCTCAATCCCTGCATTTGCTTTCCTGGGTCTTCATAGGAAAACTCCAAGCTCATTCCATAAATGAAAAGTTGGGCATCAGAGACATCGTGTGACCCCCGCCCCAACCCCCCTGCCCCAGTTACACAGATTCTAGGGCCCAGGCTGGCTACTTTCAGGCTGATC